GGAGGCAGTGCCCTGGGGCCTGGCTGACCCCCACCCCCCGCACCTGCAGCTGCATCCTGGAAGCCTGCTCAGAGCACAACAGCAACCTGCTGACCAAGAAGGGCTTTCTGAAGCTCCCGCCACGTATCAAGTTGGCCATGGTCATTGACGGGGACTTCCTGGTCAGTCTCAGCTCAGGGTGGACAGCGGGGTACCCAGTGTCCAGGAGGGGCCCGGGAGGAGCTGCTGGCTGGGCGGGGGGCTCCCCCAAAGCATGGGGAAGGGGACCATTGGGAAGATCGAGGCTGCAGGGCCTCGAATAACACGGAGAGACTGGACTGGGAGGGCCCAGGGAAGCGGTGGGAGGCCAGCCTGGGGGGCAGGGACTGAGGGGGCCTCTCAGAGTGACACAGCCCCCGTGCCCCGCCGGCCAGGACAAGCTGCTGCTGTCCCTGCGCAAGGAGCCGCGGGCCCTGATTCAGAACGTGGAGGCAGACGAGTCCTGGCAAGAGCCCTGTGAGGGTGAGAGGGATTTCCTGTGGGCCCGGCGCATATCCATGCTGTGGCGGAACTTCGGCGTCCAGCAGACCCCGACCAAGTCCAAGGACTCGAAAACCCGAGAGAGCCCCGAGATGCAGCGCGAGCGGGCCTTCATGGACCTGGCCTCGCGGTGCCAGGCCGTCATCTGCTGCCGGGTGACGCCCAAGCAGAAGGCCTTGATTGTGGCCCTGGTCAAGAAATACCAGCAAGTGGTGACCCTGGCCATCGGGGACGGCGCCAATGACGTCAACATGATCAAGAGTGGGTGGCAGGTGGCGGGGCTGGGGGAGGCTGGGGCAGCCTCCCTGGGGGGTGGCCGGGGGCTGAATGTCCCTGTGTGTGCCCCGCAGCGGCAGACATCGGCGTGGGGCTGGTGGGGCAGGAGGGCACGCAGGCGGTGCAGAACAGCGACTTCGCGCTGGGCCAGTTCTGCTTCTTGCAGCGGCTGCTGCTGGTGCACGGACGCTGGTCCTACATGCGGGTCTGCAAGTTCCTGCGCTACTTCATCTACAAGACGCTGGCCAGCATGATGGCTCAGATCTGGTTTGCTTTCTACAACGGCTTCAGTGCCCAGGTGAGTCGACCCGGCCACGGCTGCCCTACTCAGGGTTGGGGGGGAACAGCTCCGTGGGGGTGCCGTCCCTCCCGTAGCGGCACCCGGCCATGGATGTTCATTTTACTCTTATTTCTGTTGTTCAGATTGTCTCAGGTTTGTTCTCTGGGCGTCTGTGGGCTATTCTCTGAGCACGGCCGTACTTTCTGGTTCCCCCAGAGGTTCCAGGCTCACGTTGCACTTCCCCTGCCCCAGTTCTGGACTCACTTACAGAGCCCAGGTTCTGGTCACTGGAGAGTGGTGGTTAGACACCCAGATCTGAGTGCCTGGCGTGCTCAGTGCTACAATGTTACCTCTCCTGTAAGCAGAGCCGAGAAATATACAATGTGTTACTATGCTGAATACTGTAGGCAGTGACAGCACAATGGCAATTATTTGTGCATCTAAACACAGAAAATGTAGAGCAAAAATATGGTATCCTAATCTTATGGGATCCTACGGGACTACCATCGTTATGTTTTGTGTCTATCTAATCTGTCAT